TTTAATTCATTCCCTTGGGTATTATATTTACACATGGAAGATAAAAGATGGAAAAAGGAAATCTAGAGAATTCTCTCCATCTTTCTTCTTCCCCTCTCCACCGTGACTCCATAGCTTGAGGTAAGGAATATTTCAGTTGGTTATTTCTTGTAAATTATGTTTGGTTTTGATTCTTGGGGGTGTTAGAAAGTGTATGGAAGCTTAAGGAGTGATAGAAACTTAAAAGAATGGTAAATTATGGGGATTTAATATAAAGAGTTTTTAAGTGAATTGTTGGGAGAGAGTAAGTGGATTTTGAAGTCATATTTGACTTGTCAATGGTATAATTAAGAAGATAAAGTAGAAGAAGTGGATTAAAAACATGTTGAATAATTGGTATGATTTTTGGTTCCAAGTGTTCTATGAGAATATTGGATGCTAAAGTGTGTTAAAGTGAAGTAAGATAGTCTGGGAGTGTATAGTTGAGTTTAAAGGCTTTATGGAAGAGCAAAATGGGAAAGATAGCAAAGTTTCGATAAATTTATAGTTAAAAGAAGTGTAATTTGGGTTAATAGTATCGGTACTAGATGAGTAAGTATCGATACTACAAGGAAAAAAAAGTGAAAAATTTAGTATAGGTATCGATATTGCATGAACAGTATCGATACCATAAGGTAAAAGTGGAATAAATCTTCATGGGGTATCGATACTGAGGTGATAGTATCGGTACCATAGGTATCGATACCAATGGGAAGGTATCAGTATCGTTCTTGCGATGGAATTACAGAATCTCGAATAGGTATCGATACCGTGGGATGGTATCGATACTACAAGCATGGAGGTATCGGTACTATAACTGTAGTATCGATACTACTTAAGTTGGTATTAAGCAATTAATGCTTTTTTTAGTTTATATTAGTAAGAATCTTTTCGAGTAATTCGAATCCCGATATTTATTGGATTGTATATTCGTGTAGATATCGATCGGAAACGAGTATATGATGAGTCAACAAGATAAGATCGAGCAAGAAAGAGATAAGCGTATGACTTGGACTAGTGAGGCCAGGTGAGTGTATAATATTAGATATATGATATTTGATGGAAATAAGACTTGTGATAAGTCAATTTTCCATATTAGAGCATATGAATATGAGTGTATGTGTCATATGTTAAATGAGTTATATGAATACATGTTGCTGTGATCATCTATGTTAAATGATATAATTGAATTATGTGATGACGTGAACCTGTAATATAAGTTATATGGTATAGATATAAATAATTATATAATTATGAAAAATAAGCCATATGATATGACCTATGTGATTGTATGAGAAACAATATAAACTATATGAGAACATGTATATGTGAATGAGCTATGTGATTATGTGAACATGTGAATACATGTCTATGAGAAAAACCATATGACTATGAGCTATGTGATAAGAAGTTATGTGATTACATGATCACAAGATATATGCCTATGTGATATGAATATATGAATATGTGATAAACATAAATGATAATGCCCATGTTATGTGATACGAGAGCTAGGGCTATAGTTGGTATGCCAAGAGTCGAGGGTTCTATGTGGTCCTTCGGGATATATATGTAATCCTTTGGAACATATATGCGGTTCTTCGGGACATATATTTGGTCATTTGGAATATATATGTGATCCTTAAGGAGTGGTCATTCGGGACATATATGTGGTTCTTCGGGACATCTATCACTACTAGAAAATATCCCTTTAATGACGCTCATTGCGCATCATCTATGGGTGTAGATGACACATATTTGCACGTCATTGAAGCCACCGACATAAATCTCAGATGACATGCAATTGTGTGTTATAAATCTATGACGTGCATTTATGACATGCATTTATGACACACATTTATGACGCTCATTTATGACATGCATTGAGCGTCATTGAAGCCCCCGTCATAAATAAAGATGACACATTTGTGTGTCATAAATTAATGACACGCATGTATGACTTACATTGCGTGTCATTGAAGCCCCCGTCATTAAAAAAGATGACACACATTCGTGTGTCTTGATTGTATTTCGTAAATTATATATATATATATTGTAGATTGACAAATAATCAAACTAAATCACATTTAATGCCTCATAATACTAAATATATATATATATATATAAGCAATCCATTTGCATACAATATATACACATGACCCATGAAAAATGTTGTCACTGGCACTGTAATATTGCAAACATAAATAGCCAGTCATTACAATTATAGAGTGATTCTGTTGGATGTAATCAAATAATGCACTTTGTTTCCACATACTTAGAGCTTTGAGCATATGGATAAAAGCCACATATATGTGCAAATAGGCAGTGTTGCCAGACCTATATTGATAAAAAAATGAGGATGCTTATAATATGAAAAAACAATATCAACAAAAGGTAAGCAAAATAAAACAAAGATGTCAAAATTTTGCACAGCCAGTACATAATAAGCTCCATATCGTATAAGCAATTTCACCTATAGCATAAACCTTTTGGCAACTCAATAACTTAAATGCATATAAAATTTAATTTTCATTAAAAGTATAAGAAAAACAAATTAGTGTTGTTAGAACTAGTTTCAGGGAAAGGTATTAAAATATGAAAACACGGACCAAGACAAATGGCAGTAATTCAACAAATTAGGATCCTTCTTAATTAAGAAACTTCATTATGCAGAGAAGGCAACTTGACCACTCCGCGAAACCCCCTTAACCTTAGTTCAAGTTTAAGAAACAAAATAAAAGATAAAACAATACATGTAGCAGGTACTGCTACTGCATCTATACTTGATTTGAGCTTAACATAATCATCCAGGTTTATTTAATTGAGAATTTTCACAAACTCAAGTCAACCTACCAACTTGGGTGAAGTAACTCTTTAACAACCATTAGGATAGGAAAGTAGACAGATCATTGAGGAACAATATTATACTTAAAAAAAAGAGTCTGAAACAAGTTCACAAGTAATACTCTGCTTTCAGTCTCGGTAGGGTTTTCAAGCAATATGTATTTTTTGCTAACAGAAGTAACTCATTACACAACACAAACCACACCATAATAAGGAAAACACTACACCACACACCAAACACAAATTCCAGTCATACCACAGTTAAATACTTACCAAAGACATGATGCAAAGAAGGCACTTATAGGTATTACACATGTTGCATATCTACAACACCGAGAACATTTGTTTAGGAAAGAGAACATCGATACTGTAGCTAAGCAGTAATTGTGAATAATAACGGCTATTTTAGATAAAGAATAGCACTTACATTTCAATTGTCATTTTGATAGGAGCTACAACCTGCATGGCAAGTTTGAGGGAGAGGAAAATGCATTACAAAACTAGGCAAAACAATGGAAGATGAAACTTGCATAGAAAAATAATATCTATGCTCTCAAATTTATATTTCGCCTCTGTAGGTAAAATACAAAGCAAAAAAAACACAATGGATCTTTAGTTTCATGTCATAAAGAGACCACTAAGTTCTGGAAATGGGGACAATGTAACCAAAAACACATTTTATTGTGACAAACTTGGCATTCCTAGAGCTAGTTGTATTTGCATATATTGTTGAGACAGGAGTATGTGGTTTAGCATTCAACAGTTTAGTATGAAGACATTCCTTACAATAGTTAGCAATGCTAGATGGAAAAGAAATTGAAGTTAGTTGCACGTCAGTCATACCTTGAAAACACGGACAAGGAAAAATGAAACAATTCCGAAGAATGCCATGTGCATCATTGTCAACATCATAGGAAACGGGAAATTGAAGTACTTGGGAGACAACAACCACTGCAATAAGAAATAAATAACGTAAAAATGGAGAGAATGAATTGCATAAACGAAAAGTTCATTCCTAATCAAATTGAAACTGGAAAAAAAAACATATTGCTTTAGTTGTAACCTAAACCTAACTATCACAAGTAATGAATTAATAAAGCTTGATCAGTTATGGACTTTTGTTGCATGATATTGTAAAGGGAGAAAAGAACGGCACAATACAATACAATTTACACAGTATGAAAGTTGGGGTGTAAATGAGCCATAATTTCTTGAATCGTTGAGATTGCTCAACTATCGTTTGAGATAATCGGAAGTTCGGATCTCAAAATGAAAAACCAAGAAAAGACTATAACAATAACAATAAGGTGGAAAAGAAGAAACTAGTATGCACAAAGTTCTTGGCCGAGGATAATATCCAGGGATCTCAGAATCGAAAAGAATTATCATACAAAAGTATGACATAATCGAAAAGAATTTGAATCTAGACATTCTCCAAGTGTGCCAAAATATGAAAAGACAAAAGCATAGATTATCGAAGTAATTAATCAAAGTATGGAAAACCAAAGGCAACATAAGTTCGACAGACCTAGCAGCATCTTCGAGGTTAGTTGTCTCACGTACAACTAATGGAGCCAATGTCATCAAATTCCAACCACCTGGCCGTTTGTTTTGCTGAGTAACTTTTGTACCTCATTGAAAGTCTGCAAAGTTGGGGAACCAGCAGTCAAAATTAAACCATAAACACATCTGAAGTCAATTGGAGTAAATTCAAATAGACACAAGGTATGCAACCTTCAAAGTTCACAATCTAGTTTATTTAAGTAATGCCAAAATGAAAAACATCTAGTTTGCTCCACCACATTGCTATATATCACTAAAAGCACAGAGCATTGACTAAGTTTCCACTTATCTTCTCTTGATTCAAAAAGGCACATTTTGTTTTTAAAAAATTATCATCGTTTGCCAAAAATAATTATATCCTTTTCTCAAACTACCATCACAGCATTAGAAAACAAATACATTAAGCAGACTCATATATGCCCATTGTAGAAAGGGAAAATATATGTGCTCGTCTATAATACTCAGAAAGTCAGAAAATAAAAACTATAGAACTATATGAAAGACGGCGACATCTGCAAAAGAAAGATGCATTTCTATCAAGAAGATAGAAAATTCTTGCTTACTTTCCAAGTGCTATCAACTTTAGAAAACAAGTCATTCTTAGTCCGCTGCCCTGATTAAAAGAACAATACATATGAATCGTCTATCATCAAATGAACATACCCAAATTCATGGAAAATTTCCATCAAGGAACACAGAGACTCTTTATCAAATTAAAGAAACTGGTTTATAGCAATCAATACCCATTCCGCTTTCTATTAGCCTAGAAAGGCTTCCATAGAAACAGATATGAAAGCCACAGTAAAATTTGTCAGATAATTTACCAGATATGGAGTCCAATGCTAGCAAGTCATAATCAGAAACAAGTCCAACCTGAAGCAGCAAAGAACATGATCCCATTATTCCATAAGTAAAAGCTAAAATTTACTAGGTCAAAAAAGATAAGGCAATTTCGCAAACCAAATAAACAAAACCAAAATAGTGAAATCGACTGCAGTGTAAATCATGGTGGAAAACTTTGCAAAAAGAAGGCACCCAAATGCTGACACTTGAGACAAGGTCTTCAAGAATCGAGCTCGCACAGTTGCAACAATCAATTGAAATGGAATGTAGAAGCAAGAATGAATTTATATACAATGGAAGCGTGCCCAAACCTAGAAAGTCATCATGTGGCCAGAACAATCTTTCCTTCACCCACCTCGCCTTAAAGTCTTAAGAATGAAGAAAGGAACACAGACTCAATTGGCCACTATTTCACCAAGATATTTGCTTAAACTTAATGAGTCATGACTATCAATCAAAGTCCTTAAGAATAGCATTCTACCCTTCATAGAATAGGTCTAACATCTTATCCAACAACACTCACTTTAGGGACATTGGTCTCGTTGGACAATGCAAATGCTAAGATTCCACTTTTCTTGAAATGTCATGAAACCATGACAGAAAAACTTTAGAGGTTTGGGACCAAAAGTTAGAAAAAGAAAAGTAAATGAATAGTTGTAAGTTACAACCTCGCAACAAAATTTAGGGGGAAAGATGACATACCAATTTCCAATCATCATCAATAACAGGAAAACCAGTGATTCTGTGTTCAACAAGAGCTTCTAATGCTATTGGTGTTGGCACAAGATCAATAAATAAGAGCCCTCTTTTATAAATACACACACAAAAAACATAGACAATATATTATATGATATAAGCTAACCAAAAACAAGTACCTTCATCAACTATGGAAGAATACCTGTGGAAGAAGCGGCGTGAACTGATAATTATCGAGGGGGAAGAAGCGGGAAAGATGAAAATAATGGGGGGAAAATTAAAAGACGACTTTTACAGATGACATACAATTAAAAGTGTATTTCGTGTTTTTGCAAATTTTTTGAATTATGACTATTAAATATGGCACATATTATTGTAAGTCATAAATCGTTCAGATTTTAAAAAACATGACATTTTTTATGACACACATTTTTTGCAAGTCATAAATTAGCGTGTGTCATCGTTCGTGTGTCATTAAAGGTATATTTTATTATAGTGTATTTTGTCCTTCGGGACAAATTCTATGTGCCCTAGTGGGAATTTATACGAGCTGTGGTGACAGCATATGTGCACAACCTCAATATACTTACATATATTTAGTTCTCAAAAACGTACATGGGCTAATAAAGAGATAACATAAAGAAACCTTGTGTGATGTTATATGCTTTGTTTGTGAAAGGTATGGTATGAAGTGCTACAAAGGTTAACTACCAAATTATATGTTCTAAATGGATTAATGATAATGATAATGACAATGATGTGATTAGGATAATGATGATATGTGTGCATGTATAAAGTTGGTTATATGAACTCTGGTATGATGTTCGTATTATATTATTATATGAAATGTGAAATGTTCATGCATTGTTAAGTATCTAGAGTTTCTATTATACGTGGTTTATGCCTCACTAAGTCATAGACTAGCGTGTGAGTGTTTCATACGTAGGTTCCGAGAAGTAAGAAGAGGAGCAAGGATAGGCAAGTCAGGTCAGCTTCTCATTTTCAAATATCATATCATAAAAGTATTTGAATAATATATATGTTGTTATATGGAATGTAGTTGGCATGTAACTAAAAGATTTGAATTGTAACGCTCTGATAAGTTTTGTAAACTCTTTAGTGGAAATTGTATAAATTATGCAGTTTTATTGAATAAAAGATGAACTTTTCACTATTTTGTAAATGTAAATGTTTTGAAAAGTTAATGTGACATCTCGGATTCGTATCCGGGTCGGTACGGGTTGGGGTGTTACATTATGCATATTAAATTTTTACCCATTAGAACTCGTCACGCCAATGTGACGGGTTCCATTGAAATTTTTTTATAAAAATTATCCGTTCAACAACGGTCAATCCAACGGTAAATAAATTCAAATTTTTACCTATTGGAACTCGTCACACCGGCGTGACGAGTTCCATCAGGAATAAAATAATATATATTTTTTCAATGCTTTTAAAAAAATTCAAAAAAAATATTTTTATTGCGTGACGAATCCCATAGGATATATTAAAATAATTCGGGCTGTGAGAACCATGTGACACGGCCCATTAAAAAAATATATCTCATGAAACTCGCTAAGCCGGCATAACGAGTTCCATGATCACTGTAACATTCATCCTAGATCCCAAAATAAATTTTCTGTTGCTCTATTAGGCTAAATAATCCACCTGCTAGATTATTTGCCTAATTCAACATAAAAATTATGCAAAAAGTCATAAAATCAAGATTTTGTTTACAATTTATATGTTTTGCACGTGAGCTATGGTTTAAAAAGTTACGGAGAATAATCATCGACACGAAACGGGCAGTTCTGCGGTGCGGCGTCTTAGTATACGGTTAAAATAAAGTGTTACCGGTTTTGTTATTATTTTAAATAATAAAATCAGTAAAAAATGATAAAAATATCAATATTTTGACCAGTTATAATTACCTATATAAGTAAACGTGGTAAAATAAATCCGGTCAAAAAATAATGTTTTTAGTAAAGCGATACATAAAACATTATTTTTGACCATATTTTTTTTACCGTGTTTACCTATATAAGTAATTATAATCGGTCAAAATAATGATATTTTTAATCAATTTTTACCGATTTTATTATTTAAAATAATAAAAAAACCGATAGCGTCAATGCATGTGAGCGTTTCCCGCAAGAAACACCTAGCGAAACTTAACCAGAGTCTCTTTCCGGGTTTAATTCAGACACGCTTTTGAGTAATCTTCACCATGGACGCGAAAAAGAAGAAGGAAGCCTTGTTGAGGACCTTAAAAAAGTGTTCTTGGGAGAGAATGACTATGGTAATAGAGATACCAATTACAATGACAATCGGAATCTTGAAGAAGAGTTGCAGAATGGGGAGAACAATGAGCACCATTTAAGGCCTTACGCTCAAGACTTTAGCTTTTATCTTAAAAGTGGCAATTGCAAGTTTGGTTCTTACTGCAAGTTTAACCATCCAGTTCGTAGAGGGTTGTAAGATAAAGTTGTTTTCTTTTTTCTGGGTTTTCTTTGTATTTATTAAAGATTGATCCTTTTTTTTAACTTTGATTTTGTTTGTTTGTATTTTTAATACTTGTTGAAGGATAAGGAGAATCATCAGAGATTGGCTGCTGATCAACAAGGGCAAATTGAATGCAAGGTTAGCCTTTTGGGGCAACAAGAAATTGTTTTTATTTATCAATTTCTGACTTAGTTGAACACTTAGTTCTAAGCTTATATAAGAAGAATTTAAGGATAATGGTATCTTTGATGTGTGATCTTAGCCAATTGTACTTTACAATTTAGTTCACTGAACTTCTATTATTAACAATTTGGTGTAGTCTCGAATGCACTTTGAGGATCATAAGTAACCTATGTAAAAGTTGATGCTAAATTAAGTGACCTAAATGTAAATTACCCTGTTTTATATCGTTTGGACATTATCATGCACGTTGCATTGAGTTTCTTTATGTTATGATGCTTGTAGTATTACCGCTCCACCGAAGGGTGCAAGTATGGAAATGATTGTAGATATAGGCACTCTAATGTAGATTATGTATTAGCTCCACTAGAAGTCAACTCTTTGGCTCTGCCGGTACAAGTGGTACATCTGTTATAAACATTTTCACTAGTGTTTTAGACTGTTGCTACCTTATTTGATTATACGTGAGCTTCATTGTCTTCTTGCCGTTTTAGTTCACTGAACATTAATCTTATGCTAAACAGTCTTTGAATTTCAAACTTGCTATTAAACGATCTTGATTTGTCTACCATTATTTGGCAGTATTACCTAAGTTTGGGGGGATGCAAGTATGGAAAAGCTTGTAGATATAGTCACTCCAAAGAGAAGTCCAGATACCTGGAGAAGACCGAGCTACCTCCGCCAGAACTTAACTTTCTAGGCCTACAAATTCGAACTGTAATAATTTTATGTTTTACGGTGTTATATTTTGTTTCCTCGCATACCTACCTTCTTGGTGCACAACTTGAACTAATTCTACGTTCATTTCAGCTGGAGAAAGAGTGCCCGTATTATATGCGTACCGGTTCTTGTGCATATGGATCAAACTGCAGGTTTAACCATCCGGACCCCACTGCTGCTAAAGGATCCGGCACTTTCGGCTCGGACCCTTCTGGTTTTGGAGACCATTCTCCAAGGAATTATAACGGTGAACACGATGCTTTGTCATCATCAATTGAAGCAACCGTCTCTTCATTTGCATTGAATATGTTGCCAAAATAGCATCCTGCCTACTGGAATCATAATTCAGCATATGCTCAAGGGATGCATGCAAATTCTGATTGGAATGGACATCAGGTAGCTCTTATTTCACTTCCGTTTACCAATTTTTTTTTCTAGTTTTCTGTCGATAAAGATTTTCGTTTTCCAACTTCCCGTATCTCTAGATTCGTAGGAACTTTGGATGATGCAATATGATAGTTAAGGCTTCTATATATAGTAAAAATCTCAGGATCCGTTGTGTTTAGTGAACCGGGAACTGTGAGTATGTGCGCACACTTGATTGGCTAGGCACTAGCCGGCCTTTGTTGGTTTAAGCTATTGCGTATTCTTGATGCAAGGGGATCCGAGATAGATGATGCTGAGCTGTCAGATTGTACATTGATGGCGTTGAGATACCATGAATTGGCAGATCAGCGCAAAGGCGGGAATTGATTGTGACATGTTCCTCATTTGGGTCGTTTTGAGTATATTTCAGTCTTTTTGCTATAACTTTGGCTACAGGTGTCAGAATCGCGCATAAGACCCCAATCCGGAAAACTCTTTTCGACGCGCACGCTCTCCACATGAGCTATGCTCCATGTGGCCTTTTTTTCAACCTCAAATTCTGCCGTTTTCCCCTCCGAATCACTAAATTTAGATATTTTTTACTATTTATGGTAGTATTTCGATTGTCACTTAGGAAGTCAATTTAAATCCGATTTAGGCCGGATTTTTTGGAGATTGCATATTTTATTTCGAATTTCAATTTAGAGTGATTTTCGGGATTTTGCTATTTTTGGCAAAATTCGAATAAAGACGATTTTTAACTATAACAGTCCTGCTTGTGGATTGATTTTGGCATTGTTTGATTTGATAATATTTTATTAAACCCTAAAGACTTTTTTCTCTGGTTTTTTTTTGGCGAATTTTCTCTTGTGAATCATCTGTTGGAACGTTTGCAGGATAATTACTATTCTGTCTGGCGTCAATTCTGCTGCTATTATGAAACCTTGTTCTTGTTAGTTCTTTTATGGAAGCTCGTTTGTTGCTTGCTAGCAGGAAAAGGCAAGTAATCCATATTTAGCTCCATCCATAGACAAAGCAATAAAGACTGCGGTTATATACGGATTCCACCAGGAGCAAATACTAGTCAACGAATGCCCCGAACGGCCCGGTGAACCTGAATGCCTATACTTTATGAAAACGGGATAATGCAAGTTCAAATCTGCCTGCAAATATCGTCACCCGGAGAGTCGACTTCTGAAGCCTATCCTCAACAATGCAGGCCTGCCTCTAAGACCTGTAAGTCCCCATCATCATCCATTCATATAGAAAAGAGATAAAAAGTTTTTACAAGCGATGAAATCAGTTATTCCGGGTCGATAATCGCTTTGAATATCAGCAAAACCACATCGGTGCGTCCTTATGGATCATTTGTTGTAAATGTGCAGGATAGAAAAGTGTGCTGGAACTATGAAAAATCTTGGATCTGAAAAGTGTGCTGGAACTATGAAAAATCTGGGATCTGCAAGTATGGGAGCAGCTGTCATTTTCACCATCCAGAGAATCTCTTCTCATGAATCTCCATAGTATCTTAACTTCGGTTCAACAGAAGAATATGAGCTTTGAATTTTGTTTAAGTTCTACCATTTTTATAAATTATTAACCGGGTTTTATTTATGCTTCATCCATTTGAATATATTTAGAAAAAAAAATGATATTGTTTGGATGTTGTGTGGAGGGATATATTATTCGGGTCAGAATTGGAGTGACAAAAAATCTGATCCGACCTAACCTATGATCATCGGTAATTGCATGATCACCATCATCAACTCCCTGACCTAACCTGACCTTCACCACCACCACTCGCCATCCACCCTTGATCGAACCAGCAACCGCCACATAAACCACCAATAGCAACAAAGAAGGTACAACAAGAAAAATGAAAAAACAATGAAAAATCCACTTTCAATCGTCTCGGATTTTGACAATTGAATAACCCATCGAAGAATCCTATTGATGAAGTGAAAGTGAACGGTCAACTGAAATGATATTCAGCTGGAGGGCCATCGAACAACGATTGATGTAGATACGACAACAGTTTAATTGGGTTTTGCATTTCTTGAGTTTTAGAGACGATCTTCGGAGAATTCAAAGTCGATAGAGGTGGCGATGAGAGGAAAATGAGTTGTCCGGTGATGTTTTGAGCTTGAGACAATTCATGATGATCAACTTCGGTTAAAATTGGATTAAATGGATCAGTTGAACTGATTAAATTAAGGGATTAATCTGAAAATTATGTGAACCATTGGCCAACTTTGAAAACTGAAAATTACTTGATGGTGTTCCTTCCTAGACAATCTGTTTATTCTATATATATCATATTAGCTGTATTGGAATATGAAGTCTGGAATACACTAGTGTATTCTAGAATATGCAACGTGTGCATGTGCTCCTAATATGATCATTGTGTGTGTGAGTGAGCTGTTAAAGTCTGTTATGAATGTTGGAGTCTGTTATGAATCTATTATAGAGGTAGAGTAAACTTGAAGGCACAACTTATATATAAGCTGGTTGTAATGCAGAGTATTTTTCTACGGTCATTAAAAAAAGCTTCTTCTGTCATCTCTCCCTTTTACCATCTCCTTCCTCATTTGCTAACTCAACTCAGCCTTTCATCACTTTCAACCTTCATGACTGCATTTTCACATGGTATCATTCGCTAAAAGATCCTGGAGTCGTTTTCTCTTCCGCCGTTGCACCGACGATTGAATTCCTTTACTCTCACTTTCTTCCTTCTCTTACTGTGTACAGATTCTACATAAAACATATTTGTTTTCCCCTGTTTTCATTGAGATTGCAACTTGGTTTATTGTCTTACTGTAAATACATGGAGAGAAGCTCATTTCAATGGCTCCTCTACTTTTAATACAGTGTTTTCCTTTCGCATTTGGTGAGCAAAGAGACTCACTCTCTACCCTAAACAATGCTCTCGCGTCTGACCTGTTCAATTCCCAGATCCTCGCGGTTCACGGCGAGCATATTGAGGTAATAAGAGAGACAGAGGAGGGGCTGCTTAATCTTAAGCACGCTCGTTTACTCGAGAAGATGATTTAGCGTTAGATGTTTCGAATCAATCAGTATTCCGAAAGATGGAATCAATAGATTTGGTTTCCTAGAATGCTATTATTACTGGTTATGTGGCAAATGGTTATTGGTTGAGAGCTTTGGATTTGTTTCAGGAATTAATCTCTACAAATATGTTTGAACCAAATTCTGCGACTCTTGTTAGTGTTCTTTCTGCCTGTGCACAGTTAAAGGATCTCCAGGTTGGAAAAGTGATCCACGGGTATATTCTTCAGCATTCTTGCTTATATGCAATTACACCGGTGTCAAATGCCCTTGTTAGTTTCTATGCAAAATACAATGACATAGGAGCTGCAGACATTTCTGATGATTTCTTGGAGAGACATGGTTTCATGGAATTCTATTCTTGATGCATTTGCAGAGTGTGAATATGATGCTCAGTTTTAGGGACATTTAAACTGCATGCTGGGGGGAAGGATTTAGGCCAGACTTCATCACTGTCTTAGCTATCATACAGTCTTGTGTCCGCGTTTCTAGTCGAACGGAAGGAGGCATCGGCACTTCCGATTCAAGTCGAACGAAATGAGGCATCGACACTTTCGATTCAAGTCGAACGGAATGAGACATCAACACTTCCGATTCAAATTGAACGGAAGGAGGTATCGGCACTTCTGATTCAAATCGAATGGAAGGAAACATCGGCACTTCCGATTCAAATTGAACGGACAGATGTATCGCACTTTCGTTTCGAGTTTTCATCTTTTCATCAAGAAGTCGAGAGAATATTGGAATATGAAGTCTGAAATACACGAGTATATTCTAGAATATGCAAGGTGTGCATGTGCTCCTAATATGAGCATTGTGTGTGTGAGTGAGCTGTTAAAGTCTGTTATGAATGTTGGAGTCTGGTATGAATCTGTTATAGAGGTAGAGTAAACTTGAAGGCACAGCTTCTATATAAACTGGTTGTAATGCAGAGTATTTTTCTACGGTCATAAAAAATCTTCTTTTATCATCTCTCCATCTTACCATCTCCTTCCTCTTTTACTAACTCAACTCAGCCTTTCATCACATTCAGCCTTCATGGATGCATTCTCACAAACTGTTACTTCATTGTTTAAGCTTGGTTCACACGCATTATGACCATAAAATGAACTCCTTGCGTCCCAAGCTTGTCCCTTTGAATAAAAAAACCTTATATAATAAGGGTAAAAGGCCTAGCCTTTCTTCTCATCTTATCAATTATCATTCATCTTGGCCAAAAAATGAGGAGGGAAGGTCGTCAACATGGTATGGTGAAAACATACCGGATCCTCCCATCTCCGTTGAACTTGAAGTCAGAATCTCGATTCATTCAGCAATTCGACTCCCCTCTCACTGCCGGTGTAACACCCCCAACCCGTACCCGACCCGGATATGAGTCAGAGATACTACATTGACTTTAAAACATAACTCTTAACAAATAATAGCAAAATATTTGACTTATATTAAGAAAATACGATAATATATATATTGTAATCTAAGTTTACCAAAATATTCAGAGCATACACAACTTAACCCTTTAATTACATGCCAACTGCCATTTACATAACAAAATGACCTACTGATTAAGTTGCTTCTGATCTGGTGGTTGCAGGAGTAATGCTGTCAAGCTGCTACACCTGTCTCGTCTATTTTCTCGGATCCTACGTGTGAAACACTCACACGCGAAGTCATCGACTTAGTGAGGCAATAATAATAACAAGGCAATGTAATGAAAATGTCATGATCATATGAAATGAGATGCAAACATGTATTTAATCAATGTAGTCTCCATCATCAATATCCATACCTGTAAGCATATGACTTTAACATTCATGAATTTGTATTAATAAGTTTATTGGCCCATGATAACATATTGAGAACCTAAGGTATCTGAGTAACGTGAGGTTGTGCACTATGCTGTCACCACAGCTCGTATAAATGCACCGAAGTGCCGCGTAGAATTGCACCGTAATGTCATATAATGATGTCCATAAGGACCACATAGAATTCCTTAAGAATCATATACATATACTAGGGATCAAGTATGTGTCTTTCCAAGACTTCACACATGTTCCACAGAATATATATATATCCCGAAGGACCGCGTAGAATTGCACCGTAGTGCCATATAATGATGTCCATAAGGACCACATAGAATTCCTTAAGAATCATATACATATACTAGGGATCAAGTATGTGTCTTTCAAGACTTCACACATGTTCCAAAGAATATACATATGTCCCGAAGGACCGCGTAGACCCTCTACCCTTGGCATGCCAACTATACCTATAGTTCTCATCTACATAACATGGGCTTTTACATTTGACGTAGTCTATATCGCGTAGACATGTAAATTCTTACCTTTTCACATAGCTCATAACTTTTCCCACATATTCATGTCATATAATGCATTTTATATGAACTCATGTCATGTCTCATAATACATGATATGCTCATATACCATGATATAAAATCTAGACTTATCACAAGTCTAGAATGGAGTATATTTCTATAATTATGCCATGCATATGCACTCACCTATATTTCTTTGCCTTTTCCTCGATCGATCCTACTTGTAGATTGTTCCCGAACTCGTGTAGGCTCGATATCTACATAAACATAATTTTCAAGATGCTTATCAGATGTCTATGTCTTGAAATTAAGCTTTAATAGTTTATCAATTTAAGGAATTAATAGCTTAGTCTTTCTTTCTTTTCTTCTTTTTTTTTCATGGGGGAATCGGTTCCCCCCCTGGGGGTATCGATTCCCCTCTAGCATTCTGGAAATTCATATTCGTTGAGGGGGTATCGATTCCCCTTGAATGGGTACCGATTCCCCTAGCCCAGAAATCCTATTTTGAGCTCGAAAATCATCTCATTTCAGCTCAAACATACCTATTTCACTCCCTTTAATACTCTTAGCTTTCATACACTTACTTAAACTAATTATTATCCATTCAATACCTCTAAAACTAAAAAAACTAATCATCCATATAGAATTGAAGAATCTTACTCCAATTCCAACTTGTTCTAATTTCAATTCTATTACCTCATACTTCTTAATTAACTTATTGACAAGTCAAAAATCTTATTCAAACTTCAAAAACTCATCCATATCAAAATTTCATCTAAAATCTCATTTTCCAAATCTATACCTAAAACACTTATCTTGTTGTCTTAATGTCATATAAGCTTTCCTTTAGCTTATATAACATCCAAACTTCCATTTCCAATCTAAAAATCAAAGAAACTACCAAGGTTCAGATTCTTACCTTTACTTGCAAGCTTCACGTTTGGAGAAGGAAGAGAAGAAGATAAGGAATAAGGAAGAATGAAGAAGAAATGAGAGGATTCTGGAAACATTTGTTTCCTCCACAAGCCCCACGTGGGTTCTAATATAACCCCATAATATTTTTTAATTATAATTTTTCCTTACAAATGACCATTTTGTCCTTACATTCATTTCATATTTACTAACCATTATTTTTAAACTATATAATTATTCTACTTTAATCACCAAATGTTGAAACTTTGCAAATTAATCACTAACCCGGCATGGAGGATGTTACAAATCTCCCTCCCTTAAGAAAATTCATCCTCGAATTTTCAATAAGAAAAGAGATGGGGATACTGATTCCTCATATCCTCCTCACGCTCCCATGTTGCTTCCTCTACTTTGTGATTCTTCCATAAAACTTTAACCAATGGAATAGTCTTATTCCTCAATTGCTTAACCTCATGAGCTAAAATTTGAATCGATTCTTCCTCATAAGTCAAGTCAGGTCGAACCTCAATCTCTTCTGGTGTCACGATATGAGATGGATCAGATCTATATCTTCGAAGCATTGAAACGTGAAAGACATCATGTATCTTTTCCATCTCAGGTGGTAAAGCTAGCTGATATGCTACAGGTCATACTCTCTTTATAATCTCATATGGTCCAATAAACCGAGGACTCAATTTTCCTTTTCGACCAAATCTCAACACCTTCTTCCATGGAGACACTTTTAAAAACACTTTATCTCCAACTTGAAATTCAATTTCTTTCCTTTTTAGATCAGAATAGGACTTTTGTCGATCAGAGGCCACTTTGAGGTTATGATGAATTTCTCGAACTTTCTGTTCTACATCTTGAATTAAATCCGGACCAAGAACACTTCGGTCTTTGAGTTCATACCAATTTAATGGAGTACGACATTTTCTTCCATATAATGCTTCATATGGGGCCATCTTTATACTAGACTGATAACTATTGTTGTAAACGAACTCTGCCAGCGGTAAATACTTTTCCCATGATCTTTTAAATTCCATTACGCATGCTCTCAACATATCTTCCAATATCTGAATAGTTCTCTCTGATTGCCCATCAGTCTGAGGATGAAAAGCCGTACTAAAGTTTAAACGAGTCCCCAACGCTCCATGCAAAGATTTCCAGAATCTAGAAGTGAATCAAGGGTCTCGATCAGAGACTATGGAAACAGGTACTCCATGCAATCTAATAACTTCTCTAATATACAGCTCTGCATACTTTTCCATAGAGAAATCCGTTCTAACCGGAAGAAAATGCGCTGACTTAGTTAATCGATCGACAATTACCCAGATTGATTCTCTTTTGTTCGGAGTCAAGGGTAACCCCGAAACAAAATCCATCGTAACATTTTCCCATTTCCATTGAGGAATAAAAAGCGGTTGCAATAATCCTGATGGAACTTGATGCTCGGCTTTGACTTGTTGACATATCAAACACTTAGACACAAATTCGGTGATGCTTCGTTTCATCCCTGACCACCAAAATCGATCCTTCAAATCCATATACATCTTGGTTCCACCCGGGTGCATCGTTAATGGACTGCAATGAGCCTCTGATAAAAATTTTTTCTTCAAGTCGTCATTGTCGGGTATTACAATTCTTCCTTTACAATATAGATTTCCATCTGACTTAATCTCAAAGTTTTTAATCTCTTTGTTCTTTACTTGTTCAATTCTTTTCAAACACACTTCATCTTTACTTTGTAATTCTCCTATTCGTTCCAACCATGTTGGTTTAAGGGTTAATTCTGCACAAAGACCACCGTCTCCCGTTAAAGATAATCTTGCATCCATAGCTCGTAAGGCTGCAAACGTCTTTCTACTCAAAGCATCTGCTACCACATTAGCCTTTCCGGGATGATAGTCAATTATCACATCATAATCCTTTAAGAACTCTACCCATCTACGTTGCCACAAATTCAATTCTTTTTGAGTCATCAGGTACTTCAGGCTCTTATGATCCATATATAAGTAACAACGCTCCCCATAAAGATAATGACGCCAAATCCTAAGAGCGAATACTACAGCAGCCATTTCTAAATCATGAGTGGGGTAATTCCTTTCGTGTGGTTTCAACTGTCTCGATGCATACGCTACCACCTTTCCTTCTTGCATTAATACACACCCCAACCCATTATGGGATGCGTCACTGTATACCACAAAATTCTTGCCAGATTCCGGTTGAACCAATATCAGAGTTTCCGTTAGAATTCTCTTTAAAGCTTCGAAACTTTCTTGACATTCCGAAGTCCAAACAAATGGTACGTTCTTTCTCATTAACTTTTTTAGAGGCAGCACAATCATCGAAAAATTCTTAACGAATCTTCGATAGTAACCGGCAAGTCCAAGAAAACTCCGAACTTGAGACACATTCTTAGGAACTTCCCAATCCATTATAGCTTTAACCTTATGATGGTCTACTCTAATCCCAACTGCCGAGATCACATGCCCCAAGAAAATTACTTCCTTTAACCAGAACTCACATTTGGACAATTTGGCATACAACTTTTTATCTCTTAAAATTTGCAAGACGATCCTCAGATGTGTGCTATGCTCCTCAATGGACTTCGAGTAGACCAGTATGTCATCAATAAAGACAACAACAAACTGGTCCAGATAGGGCTGAAAAATCATGTTCATGAGATCCATGAAAGCAGCAGGTGCATTCGTTACTCCGAATGGCATTACGATAAATTCATAATGACCATATCTCGTTCTGAAAGCTGTCTTCGGAATATCTTTCTCCTGGATCTTCAATTGATGATAACCCGAACGTAGATCGATCTTCGAAAATACCGAAGCTCCTTTTAGTTGATCAAACAAGTCATCAATGTGCGGAAGGGGATACTTGTTCTTAATGGTCACCTTATTAAGCTGTCGATAATCAATACAGAGACGCATTGATCCATCCTTCTTCTTAACAAATAACACCGGAGCTCCCCAAGGCGACACACTTGGTCGAATAAATCCTTTTTCTAACAAATCTTGCAATTGATTCTTTAACTCTTGCAATTCCTTCGGAGCCATCCGATAAGGTGCCATTGCAATTGGAGCGATTCCTGGCATTACTTCAATTTGAAATTCTACCTCTCTATCCGGAGGTAATCCTGGCAGTTCAGCAGGAAAAACATCAGGGATCTCTCGAACTATTGGAATTTCCTCTAACCTTTTCTCTTGAGCTCTTGAATCAATCACATTTGCAAGAAAACCCTGACATCCTTGTAGCAATAATTTCTTGGCAGATATCACTGATATTACATTTGCTAAAGGATTACACATTTTACTGATCACATTAACTTCTATTCCTTCTGGACTCTTCAGGGTTACCTTTTTCAATCTACAGTCGACATTCCCATAATAATGAAACAACCAATCCATTCCCAGAATCACTTCAAACTCGTCAAAGGGTAATTCCATCAGATTAGCAGGGAATTCAATTCCCTGAACCTTTATGGGACACCCCTTACAGACTTTGTCCACCTGAGTACTATGCCCTAACGGATTAGTTACTATCATCACATTACTCGTAGCTTCTATAGGAATCCTCAACTCCTTTACTAACTTACTTGCAATATAAGAATAATTAGAACCCGGATCAATCAACACCAATACTAATTTATCATACAATTGAAAAGTACCTGCTATAATATCAGGGTCATCACGGTCTTCACTTGTCTTTAGATTGTATACCCGAGCAGTGGATCGAACTTCAGGTTGAGCAGAGAATTCAGACGGGTTCCTTCCTCTGCCTCTTCCTCTTTGTGAGGAAGAACCAACTCTTCCAGATGGTGCAGGCTCACCAACAATCAATGGACAATCCCGGATAAAATATCCGGCGTCTCCGCATCGAAAACAAGTCCCAGCAGCCATACGACAAGCCCCATAATGGTTTTTCCCATAGTGCTGACACTGTCTCCCTTGACTCAGAGTAGATCTCCCAGCACCAGATTCCACTAACTGCGTCTGTCTAGGTCTTGCCTTACTTACTCCCCTAGCAGACGATGCAACTGATTTGATCTAGTTTGTGATCGAAATCCCGAGTCTCTTCCCCTTTTTGATGGTACTGAGCTAGAAAAAGTAGTCGTCCTCTTTGATGTCTGAACTCTTGAGTCCCCAAATCTTTCATTCTGAGCCCTTTCAAGAGCTTTTGCACGATTAATCACCTCCTGGAACGAGGACAAGTTTAATACTATCAACAATTCTTTAAGTCTAGGACGCAAGCCCTCCACGAACCATTCGCAAGCATCTTTTTCAGTAGGCACAAGCTCAGCTGCAAACCTGCTCAGCTTATTAAACTCACATTCGTACTCATATACAGAGCGGCTCATCTGCTTCAAATTCATAAACTCCTGCTTCATTTGTCGGATAAACTGATCTCCAATATACTTGTTTTTAAATTCTTCTAAAAACAAAGACCAAGTCACTGGTCGGTTGACATCCTAATGGTGACGTTCATCCACCATATCCTCGCCTGACCCCTCAATAAAGACACAGCTCCATCTAATTTCTCCACTTCGGAACAGTGGAGACCATCTAACATGATTTTCAAATCATTCAACCAAAGATCCGCTGACACTGGACCTTCCTCAGCTTCTCCCTTAAATTCGGAAGCTCCTAAACCTCTCAACTCTTTTGCTACATTTATTCTTTGAGTTAGTGGAACAGAAGGTTGAAGACGCGTCAGAATAGCGTCTAACGTTCTGAAGAACGTATCTTGATCTTGCACAGGCACTCCTTGAGATGCCTGTTCTTCACCTTGCCTGGCCAGGGCAGGTGAATTACTACTTTCAGCATGCCTATCTTCTCCCGCTTCACTTCGGGAGCTATTGTGTCCGGACATCTAATAAGAATAAACACATTGTTCTATTAGCAAAACAGCATACTCATACTATACCAGATCAGAAGTTCTCACTATTTGTTGGCATGTATTCCATTTAAAGACTCTATAGACTCTGGTTCATGCCTAGAATCGGCTAAACCATAGCTCTGATACCATTAAATGTAACACCCCCAACCCGTACCCGACCCGGATATGAGTCAGAGATACTACATTGACTTTAAAACACAACTCTTAACAAATAATAGCAAAATATTTGAACTTATATTAAGAAAATACGATAATATACATATTGTAATCTAAGTTTACCAAAATATTCAGAGCATACACAACTTAACCCTTTAATTACATGCCAACTGCCATTTACATAACAAAATGACCTACTGATTAAGTTGCTTCTGATCTGGTGGTTGCAGGAGTAATGCTGTCAAGCTGCTACACCTGTCTCGTCTATTTTCTCGGATCCTACGTGTGAAACACTCACACGCTAAGTCATCGACTTAGTGAGGCAATAATAATAACAAGGCAATGTAATGAAAATGTCATGATCATATGAAATGAGATGCAAACATGTATTTAATCAATGTAGTCTCCATCATCAATATCCATACCTGTAAGCATATGACTTTAACATTCATGAATTTGTATTAATAAGTTTATTGGCCCATGATAACATATTGAGAACCTAAGGTATCTGAGTAACGTGAGGTTGTGCACTATGCTGTCACTACAGCTCATATAAATGCACCGAAGTGCCGCGTAGAATTGCACCGTAGTGCCATATAATGATGTCCATAAGGACCACATAGAATTCCTTAAGAATCATATACATATACTAGGGATCAAGTATGTGTCTTTCCAAGACTTCACACATGTTCCATAGAATATATATATATCCCGAAGGACCGCGTAGAATTGCACCGTAGTGCCATATAATGATGTCCATAAGGACCACATAGAATTCCTTAAGAATCATATACATATACTAGGGATCAAGTATGTGTCTTTCAAGACTTCACACATGTTCCAAAGAATATACATATGTCCCGAAGGACCGCGTAGACCCTCTACCCTTGGCATGCCAACTATACCTATAGTTCTCATCTACATAACATGGGCTTTTACATTTCACGTAGTCTATATCGCGTAGACATGTAAATTCTTACCTTTTCACATAGCTCATAACTTTTCCCACATATTCATGTCATATAATGCATTTTATATGAACTCATGTCATGTCTCATAATACAGGATATGCTCATGTACCAAGATATAAAATCTAGACTTATCACAAGTCTAGAATGGAGTATATTTCTATAATTATGCTATGCATATGCACTCACCTATATTTCTTTGCCTTTTCCTCGATCGATCCTACTTGTAGATTGTTCCCAAACTCGTGTAGGCTCGATATCTACATAAACATAATTTTCAAGATGCTTATCAGATGTCTATGTCTTGAAATTAAGCTTTAATAGTTTATTAATTTAAGGAATTAATAGCTTAGTTTTTCTTTCTTTTCTTCTTTTTTTTTCATGGGGGAATCGGTTCCCCCCCTGGGGGTATCGATTCCCCTCTAGCATTCTGGAAATTCATATTCGTTGAGGGGGTATCGATTCCCCTTGAATGGGTACCGATTCCCTTAGCCCAGAAATCCTATTTTGAGCTCGAAAATCATCTCATTTCAGCTCAAACATACCTATTTCACTCCCTTTAATACTCTTAGCTTTCATACACTTACTTAAACTAATTATTATCCATTCAATACCTCTAAAACTAAAAAAAACTAATCATCCATATAGAATTGAAGAATCTTACTCCAATTCTAACTTGTTCTAATTTCAATTCTATTATCTCATACTTCTTAATTAACTTATTGACAAGTCAAAAATCTTATTCAAACTTCAAAAACTCATCCATATCAAAATTTCATCTAAAAACTCATTTTACAAATCTATACCTAAAACACTTATCTTGTTGTCTTAATGTCATATAAGCTTTCCTTTAGCTTATATAACATCCAAACTTCCATTTCCAATCTAAAAATCAAAGAAACTACCAAGGTTCAGATTCTTACCTTTACTTGCAAGCTTCACGTTTGGAGAAGGAAGAGAAGAAGATAAGGAATAAGGAAGAATGAAGAAGAAATGAGAGGATTCTGGAAACATTTGTTTCCTCCACAAGCCCCACGTGGGTTCTAATATAACCCCATAACATTTTTTTAATTATAATTTTTCCTTACAAATGACCATTTTGTCCTTACATTCATTTCATATTTACTAACCATTATTTTTAAACTATATAATTATTCTACTTTAATCACCAAATGTTGAAACTTTGCAAATTAATCACTAACCCGGCATGGAGGATGTTACAGCCGGATTATTCACAAAGATGCCGACGAAGCCAACTAATCATTCCAAGTTTACGGGACGATGCAGTAGGCCACGATGCTTAGGGTGTTACATGCATCCGACTTGTAAGTCCAAAGATAAAACGAAAGGAAGTCATAAATCGAAGTCAAGTGAAATGGTTTCTAGCTGCAGGTTGATCACTTGGAGAGTTGTTGATGGGAGGCCTGGTTTCAAAGATTCTGGGTTTTCAGCTTCAAGGATTTTGGACCATTTGTCTAGTGATTATGATCATGATCGCGATGACGATGAATATATAGTTAATGATGGTTCCAAAGTGAATTCTCAATCCTTGGGAGAAATGGAAGATTATGAAGGCGGGATTGAAGAAAATATTGTTGATCATAATGAGGAGGATGATGTGAAAAATGATGGTATTCATGTTCATGTTGAGGATGATGAGGAGGAGGAAGGTTGGTGTTTAGTTGGGAAAATTTGATAATCATTATTGGGTTTTAATATTTTTATATTTGGTTGAATTTGGATTGTGGGTTAGGCCATAATTTATTAAATAAATGTTTATTTCTTCTCAAACTATGTGGATTGTATTTCATATTTAAAAATATTCAAGCACTAAATTCATGGAGTAGCTTTCATAATAAAAGGCAATTAAATTTAAATAATTGTGTTTACAAGCATAGATGGACCTAGAGAGGCGGGTAGGAGTGGTCATCCCCTAAAAATTTTAAATTCCTATATATTTTATATATATTCTTTTTATTGTCTGTTAAAAATTTATTTTCATCCTTTAAAATTTTATAAGCTCGTTTATCCTCTAAAATTTTATAATTTCGCCCCTCTGATATAAAATCATTCGTCTCCTAACCTGCAAAGTCTGTGCGCATTATCAATTCGTTAAAAAATTTATCAACAATTATTACTTTATAATCATCTTAAATTATTAAAAAAATCAAGCTCTCCCATCTTATCTCTTTGGAATATTAATTAGAAATAAAAAAATTATCAACAATCATATTTTTAATTCTAAGAATAAAAATTCATTTTTTTCACAATAGTAAAAGAATGGTTAGATAAAGTTTTATTTTTTTTTCTTGATGGTATAGACTAAAAAAATAATTCATGTTTTAATTTTAAATTTTACAAATAAAATTTTAAATATATAGAATTTAATTTTTAAATATATAAATATGTGATAAATTTTTAATGCTATTTATAATTTATTTTGAAAATAATTATATTTGTGAAAACAAAATCTTTCATTTGATAAAGAAATATTTTATTTTTTTATCAATCGAATCATACGAAAGCATAATAATATCTCTCAAATTGGGAATTATACTTAGTTTAGATATTTAAAAACAAATTTAATGATAAAAAAACTTATCCTATTTTATATTAGGGTAAATTACAAATATCACCACTCAACTTTCTTCTCACTCTTATTTTAGTCACTCAACTTAGTTTCATCACTTAGATGTTAAATCGTAAATAGAAGGGTGACATGTCAACCACATGTGCTGATGTGGACTATTTTTATCAACTTAAAATTCATGTATTATCCATATCGTTTTCTCCTTTCTATTTTATCTTCTTCCTCCAAAAATGAAAGTCTTACAATTTCAACCATGTTCTACACCAACATTAAAATTATCATTCTTCGGTCACTCAAGATATCTATCAACTCATTTCATTGTCTACTACCACTCCATCAGTTTAGATTTTATCTAAATGACTTTAAAACTCTACTCAAAACTCTAAATCATCGTGATCAATAATATTCACCATCCTATCAACATGAAATTAAAATATAAACTCAGCATATATGGCCAACCAAGAGAGTGTGAAATAAGTTATAACTTGTCTAACAACGCAGTTTGTTGCAGTTGTATGAAGTTATATCTGAATTTTCCATTCATACTTTCTATGTCATGCAAAAGTTTGTAGAAACTCAAGGGTAATGTTTTACAATTCCTGAAAACAAAATTTGAACAGATTATAGCATATCTTTCTTGGTGGGAGCTTCGAAACCGAAGTATTCGCAATGAAAACACAAACTACAATGTCAATCTTTTGCCCGTTAGAAAACCAGAGAAGCTTAGTATTTTCTGATCTCCAACTATGTCAATGGCACTCCACCATTTTTGTCTTGGAACACTATATCATGCTTGGGTTCTCGCTCCAATCGCTATTGAACTATGTGTTTTTCATCTCTAGGTGAAACTTATGATGTTACAATTATACGTCCGACTTGCGAGCTACGGCCATTTGGTTTTAAGAATCCTGTATAAGCTCTTCTCCTGTTTTTGTTACTTTTACCTTTCGATGATCCCTTGCCTGCGTAACTCGAACACACTGCTAGCGTGACTAACATAAAACCCAATCCGGAAAACACCCATAAAAGAATGATCCAGAACCTTAAAGTACTGAAGAGCCCATCTTTAACTTTAGGTTCAGATGATTCCTGAGAATGATTTCTGGGCACTGGATTGCCTTTTACATCGTCACTCCCGGAAGACCTACCGAGTTTCCTCGAAGTTGCAATATCCTTTGTTGTATCCGATTTCGGATTGGATAAGACAGCAGGGTTGGGGCAGTTTCTCCTCTTGTGATGCAAACGCAGTGCTTCATTTAGCGTTCTCCCACATTCTATGCTAAGCAGGTCTCGTTGAAGTAAGCTCTCATCAGTTTGTTCAAGTGTGATCGGGAGGGTCGGAAAACGTAGCCCAGCAATTGTTGACGACGTCAACCTCTCTCCAATTCGCCTTATCAAAGCTCCAATTCCCAACTTTAAACTCCAAGCCATAGTGGAAAACTCTGTACTTGACGCCAGGTTCGGGAACATATCCAGGATATATTAATATCTCACTGCTTATGAGGTGCTGTAAATTCAACTGCATGATAAAGAGTAGATGAATATTTATTGTCTTTACTCCAGAATCTCATTTGTAGGACATAAAGAGTTACAATCTAGTTTATAAGAAGAAACGAAAACATTACCTCTGCTGCACCAAACGAGTAACCATACATTTCACTGATCCATCCAGATTCGAAGATATCTCCAGTAATGTTTGTTGCATAATGAGCTTTGTCAGCTCGAACTTCCTCAGTTTTAAGCAACCATTGCAGTGCAAATTCCCGGAGATCATCGATATGCATGATAATAACACCTCCAACATTGTCACAAGCCTCGGGATGGCGAGTATGAAGTTTAGCAAGCTCATTGTCACAGCCAATAAGGTAATTACCAAGCATAGCCATAAATTAATTATGGGTTATTCAACGAATACCGAGAAAAGAGGTGGGATGGGGGGATAAGAAGAAAGAGTGTTGTAAAACAAATTTGAAGGACATTAATCCTCGTTCTCCTCGACTTACTCATATGGGGTTGAAACTGGTCGGCCACGTGCTGCTTTGAACTCCCATGGTGTAATTGGGCCTCTCAAGATCATGTCAGCATCAAGGATAACCACATACTCTGCATCAATGTCTACATGGTTGAGCCAATGAACAACAGCAGCTGGTTTATTAATTGCCGGATACCTGAAATGAATCCAGCAAAACCAATAGTTTATTCTCTGCCTTCAAGTTTATAAAGCTTGGTCAGGGTATCAAGTTGTTTATGTAGCCTAAGAGTTTTTTTATCGGGAGCCAAAGTAACTAACAATAAATCGAGAATTACCAGTCGCCTGTAAGCGGATGGCGGCTCATTGAAGGGACATAATGAGTTGGTGCCAAGTCATGACCTTTGTATTGCTTTTAACTCCTCGTCTGTACAGCTGAGAAGACGTGTTATATTTCCAGGCTGGCCACTGAGGTGGAAACTGTGAATGAGTCCTACAGTCTGCCAATCAAAATAAGAAGTAAATTCTGTTGAAAATAAGGTGTGAATTTTCGGATATGGTCTTATATATTCATCAGTTTCCTTCTGCTCCTTGGCCGGCTCAGTTTGTATCCCGAGAGGAGTAAGCAACTTCGGTTTAGTTAGTTCAGAAAAAGTTTTGCTTTTCAAAAAGCTTAGATATTTTGACCACTTTGGCTTTGGGCATCCATTTCTGGCATGTTGTAACAGAAGACCCTCATTCATAGTATTAATACACTCAATACTCAAGAACAAGCCACGCCTTTTATTTGGATCAGGTTCCATCAATTTAACCTGTGTACGGAAAGGATGCACGAAATCAAGTCTCACACGTAATTTGTAATTACAAATAAAACAGATGATATGTGCAGGTGTTTAAGTAATAAGCATGATGTTTAAGTTTACGAATGTAACATGCATTAGATGGACATAGATAAGCATTTGTGAACATTACATACATTTCTAGGATAAGGAGGTTCGGGAAAGAGTCGTCCACACTCGTAAACAATCCCATCTTCATGATGCTCTAATTTACTGAAAGACCAATTTCCAACACTAATCGGCAACCCATAATGTAGAAGAATAGGCTCAACACCTGGTTGTGGAGTATAGCCTGGGTATATCATCAGGTCATCGTTAATCTTATGCCTAAGTCCAGCCTGAAAACAAAAGAACATATAACTAAAATGAAAATGATGGATATAGGAATATCACAGGTAGCACGGCTGAAGAAAGGAAAATTCTTTTATATTCTTTTTATGATAGTACAAAATAAACGAAATAACGTACTTCCGCAGCACCGAATGAATAACCATACATCTCACTAATCCAACCTTTCCCATAAATGTCACCGGTTATATTGGTCGCCCAGTGAGCTCTGTCTTCACGTACTTCTTCTGTCTTTGAAAGCCACAAAGGTGCTAGAACTCGAAGATCATCTATGTGCATGGCTAAAAGCCCACCAACCTTGTCACAAAGTTCCGGGTGCTTTGTGTGCAATTTAGCTAGAATATTATCACATCCTACCACGTACCTGAAGTACCGAATAATCACGAATACCAAAGTGAGGAATTCGGAAATGGACATAGAAAATACGCACGATGCATCTACAGCTCACAACAAGGTGCAAATACACACATTTCTTTCTCTTGAAACATTATCTTTTCACTACTACAAGAATAAACAATCCTCAGTTTCAGCATATATCAAAAAATTATAGTACCCGTAATACGCAGCAATGGGGTGGCCTTTCTCTGCCCCAAGTTCCCAAGGTATAATCGGACCTCGGAGGATCATGTCCGCATCCAAAATCACAACCCGTCGACGTTCTCTGCATCTTTACTATGTTTTAGCCAGTGGACAATTCCAGCAGGCTTGTTAATGGCAGGGTACCTACAAAATAGAAAACAAACTTGTACGAAAACGATTGAAAAAGGCAATCCCACAAAGAGAGCTACAACAAGGGACTTTATGCAAGATGTTCAACATTCATGAACCTATAAACATATGAAACTGAACTTCAATCAACACTCTTTCATAAGCAAATTCCCAATAAAAAATAAACCCTTCTACTTCATTAGGGTTGATAATAACAATTCACAAATTAGATCAAAGAAATTGAATCTAGACAATGA